CCCAATAATCCCCCTAAGTCCATGCAAACTCACCCAGCCTAGAGTTCCTAGGCCCCAAAAGAAGAAGCACTCTGTTGCGGATCTGCTTTCCATGGCAACGGCCCTTATCTTCACATGAAAGTGAGTGCCTGTCATGAGGCAAAACCTCGTCCTCCGCCTCAGCTCTCTCCTGCTGTTTCAAAGGCTTTCACAGGCTGCTGTGTTTACCTCCCCTGCTAGAGGACGGCTGGTGTGTTAAATTAAGCCCATAACAGTAAGCGTTAGTGTCCCTTTATGAACGAACATAAAATGACAGACTTGTTTTGTCTTGGGCGTGGAAACGGCCGTGGAGGAGATTAGCGAGACGAAATATAGATTTGCCATCGGGAATCCATTAAACGGCCTCATTCCACCAACAAAGGGGCTAATTCATTTATGGCATTCCAGGCCATGAGACGGTGAGGTCATCTTATTGATTTTTCCCACTTTTCCCATTCGGATGAAGGGTGAGGAAGAAAAGAACTCCCAGCCTAGGCAGGGACACATGAACCAACGCATGAGAAACTGCATCCACAGGACTATTCAAGTTCTCCCTTATGTTTTCAGGGTGAGCGCTGCGAGTCGGGGCTAATATCAATGCTAAATGGTTATAGTAATTTATGGCTCGCGCCCAGACGCAGGCTAGGGGGGTGGGAGAGGGAGATAACTGACCTTTGTGACTTGGCTAAAATCCCCATGGGCCTAATTCAGCAGGGGAATGGACCCCACAGCAGCAATGGGAAGATGCCTCAAACATAATGCACACAATAGGCAATTGTGCTACGGTTTCTCTCCTTCCTTTAAGCATCAGCCCAGGGGACAGTAAAGGGAGAATGCAGCCTGTTGCTTTCTCAGGAAGGACAACAGCACATTGATGAAAAAAAGGTGTTGACTCAGCAATCAGGAGAGGCACTTGGGTCTCATTTGTCTTTACAGACAGCACCTAGCATTGAAGAATCATCCTATACTGAGACATACTGTAAAGCTTTTGCAGTTTGAGTGTGGCCCAAATCATTCCTCTTGAAAAAGCAGTGCCAGTGTCAGTAATTTGACGGAAGCTCCAAAAGGGAGCAAAATGAAATCCTTCAAAGGACCCGAGGTAATTTAAGTGAATACCTAAGCACCATCAGCTTGCATAGTTTGTATCAGCTTATAGTGTACCTAACGTTAGCCAGTCATCCTAGAGGTTTCAAAAAACACGTTTTTGGGCCTGTTTGCTCAGAAAAAATCAGTTCAGTTCTTTGTCTTGTTATAAAAAAGAAGGATCATATATTTATACTCTGGAGATTTGGTATAGTTACATGTGCTATTTATGACTAAGAGAGCCACTTAAGGACCAGTAAGAGCAAAACCCCTCAAAGAAATGCTTGAAAGAGCCCACTCAGTATAAGAGATCCTGGAGATGTCACAACCCCCTCATTCGGATAACAAGTGAAGACTTGTAATTTACAGTAATACTAGTTAATCGCTTCAATTTCAGAGTGTATTTTTCAAGTACATATATGGAACAAAAATAATCTTCGAGCACGGTGTGCGCAAACAGCCTAACTCTGTTCTCAGCTTTTGATCACATCTTTGTGGGTGGCATATGAAAAGCTGAACCCTGCCCTGGCCCTGGCGCTTCATCAACTGCATGTGCACGGGACAGAGGCACTGCAAAGCCCAAGGGGGAAGGCCCGAGGCAGAAGACAAGCCTGTGAACAAATGGTAACATGGCCCAATCTGCCCAAGCACTGAACTACTGAATTTATTTCCTTTTCTCAAGGCTTTATTCACCGAGTGACTCTCAGTGCCCACCCTCTATGCAACCCCCCCCCCATAAAAAGGGACCGGGTGGTGGGGTGGGTGGACGGTAAAAGAAAGAGTCGGAGAAAGAACAAGTCAGTTCTTTTTTGGCGAGGGGAGAAATAAAGCTTTGTGCGCGTCGGCAGCGGTGGCACATTTGACAGGTCTTTACCAGTCTCCCGCTCTTTTGTGTCCGTCACATAATGGAGAAAAACACAAACTGAGCCAGTGTGGCGTTGTGGCCTGGGCTATTAGTCAACGTGACGGCCTTTGGAGATGCTAATGGTCGTATAGTGTGTCCCTCTCTCCCCCCTCCTTCTCAGAAGCCGGTTATCTGATAGCACAAAGGCATTCTGCTGGAGGTTGACTTCTTCTTCGCCCCTATTGAGATGCTGCATGGAGTCATTAGGTTAAAGCCTCTTTCTCCAAACAACCCCCCAAAACCGCCCCTTTTTCTGTCTCTCCCTTTTTTAACAAACGGGAATATAATCGTTCTCCGAAGGCACGCAAGAAGGCAGCCAGTCAAGGCCGGAGCGTATGCATGTATATGGCCCTCAGGTGCTGGAAGGGATACAGAACCCACTCTCTCTCTAAAAAACAGAAATCCCCCCACCTCCTCAATTCCCCTTGCCCCCCTCCGGCAAGGTTGCGATGCCAGGAACAATCAGGCCCTTGTGAAATGGGAGAGGATGCCCAGAAGTTAAAGACACCCCCCGACACATACGCACACAAACTGCCCCATGTTATTCAGCAGGCCAGGCTGGAGCTTTGGGCTCCAGGGCTTCCACAAGCTTATACATGTTGCCCACAGGTTCTGTGAGCATGCAGGCTAGAGAGCAGGGAGCCAGTAACCAAGAACAGACTCCACTCACACAATACAGGTCAAATTCTCACTGCTTCATTAGCTGCAGGATATGTGCATAACCAACTCAAATCACTGAATTCTAGGCACACACAGGCCCATGTACGCACACTCAATATCTAGGCAACCTTTTCATCACAAATCCATGCAAAAAGATCATGAGTGAATCCAAAAAAACTGGGAGAAAACCAGTATGAACCCAATAAAAAGTAAATCTTTTAACAGCAAAATACTCTTTACACTGATTTTACTAGACATTCTTTATTTCAATTTATAAATAATCATGAGCTAATAGTTTGTTTATCTTGCTTTTGGAGTTGAGCTTTAGGGAAAATGCATTTAGACAGCCTGCCTAATACCAAGCTAAGACCAGCGCATAGCATGCAGATAATGTTTTGGGTACAAAGACCTTTCTCTGGTGGTTTAGTATGAAGAGTAATAAATCTACTAGTGCTTATATGTCTGATAATTGTGCTAAACTTTGCCTCTTCTGTCGTTAACATACAGGATGTTGGATAATGGGGGGAAATCATTCAGGCAAGCAAGTAGCAAGATTAATAAATAATATTTAATTATCCCAAAGAGAAACCATATTATTATACATTATTCATGTGAAGCACTTTTCCAAAGCACCTGTGGTGATTTTTTTTTGTGGTAGTCTCCACAAATTAACAATTAAAGCACAGTATATTCCAGTAAAATCATCTATTTTTAATTTTTGGCCAGCATGAATAGCTTTATATTCCATTATGTGTTTTAAACTAACCATAAACGTGTGCGCCCATTTATTTCTTATGATTTTGTTCTGGAACTGGGCTGAAAGTCCAAGACAACATAACTAGCCTTTCTCTCCCCACAATAGTGCGATGCTAGCCAAAGCAGATGTCTTTTAGCTAACGTAACATAATTCACGGTTAGTATTCCCCTCCAAGCGTGTTTAGCTGTTCAATGATGTGTTAGCAGTCAAAAAAAAAATTAATGATGCTTCACGTCATAAATGAACCACGACTGCCTTCACCTGCACAGCTTAGCAGAATCATGTGATAGGGAGAGACCTAGCTTGCAAGTGGGAATCAGCCATGACAAAGTTGGGTTAAAAAAAAAAATCTAAAAATAAAAAAATTAATTAATAAATAAATAGTTCACTCTATAGTGTGCGTGACTCTGCTATGTTGTTTGAATTCTCAGTGACAAATATTTCAGTTGTTCCATGTTCGTTACCCAGTCAGTTTGCTATATCGCAAAAATGTAGTGAAGACTGAATTAGTTAACGAGTGAAAGCTTCTGAAACAGTGAAATATAGCTCAAAAAGTGTGTGTCATATTTGTCTAAATCCACAAGAAGCATGAGCCGAGCTGTATAAGAATATGGCGTGGTACTCCATCAAAATTTACACAATGCTTGTTCACATACGAAAGGTAAACTTTTCACAGGATAAATTATCCTGACATTTTCATAGAACAATTTATCATACTTTATGGGACAAGTATGACTAGCCCTCTCTAATCGCAAATCTGGGCCTATTTTAGTTAAAATACATTTAAATCATGCAACTTGACGACAAGATTTGTCTCATTTCACCCGCTTCCATGTTAGATGACAAAATCTAATCAGTAAAACCAAGCTTTATTGGAACAGTGTAAAATGTAACGTCATCCTGAATGTGTCTGTAGCAAAACAGTGTTAATCTGTACCCAGTAATACAGTTAGTAGCATGTAATTGCACGAATGTTCAATGCCCACTGTGCTCTAAACTTTAAACAGAGGTAGACAGTATTCAGGAATGTTTCCCAGTTGTTCATGTTTTTATCAGCTAAAACTGAAGCAGCAGACTATTAATATCCATTTTATTTTACCTTCTTTAACACCAGTTGAATAAATAAACCGCATCTGATGGCATACAACATGCAAACATTACAATCGAGAACAAAGGAGAAAATGTTTCAATCTATTTAGATGGATATATTTCTCTTACAAGCATCACACTCTGATTTCCCCCCCTGCTGTGATGACAGATCCATGATTTCAGCAACGTTTACATGTACACAATGTATATTTACCCATTTATACACATAAGCTGTCTGGAAAACTGTCTTTCTTTCTCCACGTGGTTAGGACATCATAGTGGATTTTACAAAATCCAAGTAAACAGCACGAATGTTTGAGAGATTAAAAAAATGTGCAGTACTGGGAGAAGGGAGTATGCATGAGAAATGACAGGACAGAGAGACCAAACAGTGTGAAACAATTAGTTACAGCAAGTCCCTTAACTTTAGAATGGTGCAGATGGAGAGATGGTACAGAGCAAAGTAGAGGAGATGGAAGAAAGGCGAGGATGCAATAAAAGGAAAAATATCAAGTGGCAGGGAAGCAAATAAAAAGAATTATATCTGACTATTGACCCAGATTAAGTAGATGTATTCTATCCTGTTATGGAGCAAATGAGAACGTTCCACAGGCTTCTGTGAACATTAGAATCAACAGTAAAACAAGAAGCAAACCTTTAAGTGCTGTGTTTCATAGCACATTGGGCTAAATACTGAGACCTTTATCAAAAACTACCTACACTGACACTATTCATGTTAGCAGCTCCAGTACATTAGAGCAAGAACTTTGATATGCTATAGATAAGATTATAGAGGTGTCTCAATTTAGCTGCAATGCTGTGGGTACATTAGGTCACAAAAATGAGCGGGAGGCTCTTTGGCCATGGAGACGCAGCTGGCCAAAAAGAACAAAAGCCGCAGCAGTGAAAGATAAAAGACATTTGGGATCCTCCAGCAGCCAAATCAACAACAGATGAGCTTAACCATGTGCCTTCTCCATAAGCATCACTGCAATTAATAAGGAAGGCTAGAACGAAAAAAATGAACGCTGTACAAAATCTTCATTTATTGGAAACGAGGGAGGAGAAGACACATAAAGCCTGTAAGTGCATGTCTCCCTCTCTCTCTGCCCTCTCTCCCCCACACACCTCTCTTCAGTTCTGCATGGAGAACAGTTCTGGTGAACACAGTGGCTTTTAAGTGCAACAAGAAAAAAAGAATAAAGCATGGGGCTGTGACGGGCACCACTTTCTACTCGTGCAAGCGCTCCTTTCCAACAGTGATCAAATGTTCAACAAACTTAAAGGGGCTCCTACGCACTTGACTTGTTTTCACAGGGGCAGCATTTAAAGAGGGAGGCAGAGTTCTGCAGGGGCTTAAGTGTGTGTGTGTGTGAGAGTGTCTGCATGAAGAATGACGGCGAGCTAAAGCAATGGAGGTTAAAAACAGGAGGAAAGCAGGGAGGCCAATCATTTACACAGCAAAAAGAGCAAAACTGCATCTTCTGTGATCAGTGCATTTCTTGGGTGAGGACATGATGGCATCCAACGTTTCTGAAACAAAATAGAAATTGATCAAAATGTGTATTTTAATAGGGTCTATACAGAATAACCAAGACTAAAAGAACTCCTAAAGTCCCTGTATCCTGAGTTTTTTGTATTTGATCTTTTATCTTAAGGCCCACTTTATGACATTTGTGTGTTTTATGTGCTAAAAGGAGTCCTAACAGACTTTTTCATGTCCTTTTACCAATCTCTCTTTATCCCTTAGCATTAAACAGGCTGGTTTTTGTTGTGGTGCCTTTAAGATTAACACATGTAAATGAGCACTGTTCTAATTGGCTGCCCTGTATTCTGCCTCATTTAAAAAGCAGTCTGGGCTGAAACATTCCTTATAACTTCACTGTGAATGGGTGGGGCTAAATGTGTTGGTATTTATCACATCACAAAAACAATTCAAAATGGGCTGTTTTTACAGCTTCCATATATATAGTGAGGAGTCAAAGGCAGGTTTGAAACTTTAAAAACACTTGCATACTACATCAAATTCTTATTACAAACAAAAAAACAAGCTTTCAGTTTTTCCAGATATGGGCCCTTTAAAATCTAAACATTAAATATCATGGATCAAGCCTATGCATATTAAATTTTATGCAAACTCCAGGCTAAAAAATTCAGTTACTGAATACCTGTGGCACTATTTTTCCTTGTGAAGAGCTTCTATGAAGGCTTCAAGTTTCTCCTGGATTTCTCGTACTTTTTCTGCAGAAGGATGACAAAAAATATAAGTTATTTAAGGCTGCAACAAATATTCAATAACACTGAAAAAGTTCAACAGTTAAAATATTATAAAAGCCATTCAAATAACCAACACGTTTACCACATTTGTGAACCCATTCACTTCCATAGAGAAGTAAACAGTTGTTCACCAGGGTAAAAAAAATTGCTAGTCACCAGCTGCACGCCGCTGGCAGCTCTACACCCTAGATTCAGTGGAGATTGTGATTTGGTACAGCTTGTGAGACTCTCGCAATTCGAGGCTAGAAGGAAGTGTTAACACCACCTGCAGTCCTGCTGCTCCAGGTTTTAGCTAGGTTGCATATTCCCAATTGAATTTATTACAGAAAAAAAGTTAGCACATGCCAGTTGACTAGCTGTCTGTCTAGAGCTAGGGAAATTATTCAGACTGCACTGGGTGTTAGAGCAGATGTGACTGTGTGCTCCAGTCACTCCACTCTTCACTAATAATAACTGACTTCAAAGCTGATTTCATGGTTAAAAAGATGCTGTTTCTTTTCAGCACCACTCACTGCTGCAACCTAATAAGGCTTCCAAATTGGGCAGAATCCCAAGTTTAGCATTAAATGCACCTTGCTATGAAAATAATTATTTATCAGTAATTTCAATCTTTTTTTAATTATCCTGTAGTCTTGTAATGAGATTTTATGGAATAGGTCAAAATCATAATACAAAGAAGAAGAAAAAGAAGAAAAATATTTGAATTAATAAAAGTTAGTAATAACAACAATAATACAATGAATTTTTTTTTCCATTCAGTTATTAAAGTGTCTTGAATTCTTATTCTTATGGAATATTCAAATAATCAATATAATGTTCGATAGAACATTGTAAAGTCAACAAAGTGAACATATTCAATACTTGCAGGCCTAATATCAATTGGTGTTATAGCAGCATAACACCTTATGAGCTCCTCTAAGAAAACCATGAATGGTCAGGTATTAGTGACCTATTGAGTCTATAGATTCATAAATCCTGTTACCTAACCTATGAAAACCTTTCAACGCTTTTGAAAATACAGTCGTGTCATGAGCCTCAGCTACCCAAACAGCATATGGCACCCAGTGACAACTTAGAAGTCCGTGTTAGTAGATCTGATGAAGAGATGGTGTTCCATTGCACTACTTCAGCTCCACACACCACTTCAAAGCCTGTGCCCTAGAGGCTCAGGCTGGCATTCAGTCAGCTAAACGAGTAACACAAGCAAGATTCCTCAGCACAGCAAGAAGTACGACATCCTGTAATCTACAAAAATAATATGTAGTGTCAGAAACCACATTAGCAAGTGTATTTGAGATTACTAAACAACTTAACACACTTTGAGGCAAGTGTGTGATAATTTAGGTATGCAGTTAACTGTGCTAATTGGGCAGCAAAAGCTTCCAAAAGCTGCCAAAAGCTTACTTGTTAGCTATATTGGCCTTGTTGTGATTGGCCAGTTCAAAACTAAAGAAGCAAACTTTGAACACAAAACATGTCTTGGCTGACTCACTACCATCTGGTATTGACTATACTCGTTTGTAAAAAGTCCTTGGGTATGAGAAAGGCACTATAGAAAACAGACAAATTATTATTATGTGTGAGAAGAAACTTGGGTGAATTCATTCACATTACGTTAACAACATTTTTAAACAAATTTTTCTTGCTGGACACACAAACTAAAGCCATTATTTTTCTGAAGCCTGTATTTTGCTAATATAGGATCTGCAACTGTAGCCCTCATGTTTAAATACAGTATATAAATGGCTTTTAAAGCAATATGTTCAGCGGCTATACTGGACAGTGCTCACAGAGTCCTATGGATAAATTAACAAGTAGCAAACTAACAAAAGCAAATGGAAAATGGAAAGATGCAGTTCCAACCGAGAGCCTCCATTGTAGCAAGAATACACAAGCTATATGAACAGGGCTACACTTGTGGAGCAGCTGGAACAACTGCCTGTATACAATCATACGCAAAAAAGTCTGAGCACAAATGTCTTGGTTTAATGACATGTTTAGTACTTACATATCCTCTACCAAGAACACACTTCTGCACATCTTAATGCAAAATTACTGTTTATTTGTTTAAATTAACATATTGGAAATAAATTAAAAACAAAATGTGGGCGGTGTAAAAGTTAAGGCACATTTTAAATTTGTTTGATTTTTATCAATATGTTAAATTCAAATAAACAGAACAGATACTGTGCACTAAAATTTACAGAAATCTGCCATATTAGGTTTGTGTCCGGGAGTAATGAAAACTGGAAACCACATTCACCCTAGGAAAATCACATGATTTTCATATTCATGTAAGCATTTACATAACGAAAATAATCAATATATACTGATTTTGTCCACACACACACACACACACACAACACACACCACACACACACACACACACACACACACTATACCAATATGTTTTTAAATGAAAAAAAAAGTCAGATTTGAGAAAATAAGCCATATGCTTTTCATTTTGCTTAAATACACAAAATATTGCAATTAATCATTAACTATTTTAATTGTTTGGAAGCCCTAATGAACTGTAAACAGTACAGAACTACTGAAGGGTTCTCTAACCCTTAAAACAAAAGATCTGTCCGACCCATCTAAAAGTTCAAGTGTAATCATGTAGACCTGCTCCACTGTCCTACATTATTTACCCACAGTACCTTTAATAGGCTTTTCACATGGACACTATGCTCCTAGCTTGCGCTTGTAACTGAATACCGTTATGCAAGGCTCGTGCTGCCGTTTTATGAGTGTTATAGCATGGGGGTTCCCCTTTCTGCAGAGAGGTGAGGGATGAAAGGAATAAGCCAGCCTTTGTAAACGCTCTGACACCTCTGTGGTCTGAAATACAACACTCTGGCCCCTCACTCGCACACACATGCACGTGCGCAATCTCTCAAATAATTTTAGCCTGAAACACGACCCTATGGCACCTTCCCGGCACACTTACACACACACTGCTGGCAGGTAGCAGTGATGGCCAGCTCTTTGATACTCTATTAGAGCATGAGCATATAAAAGACTGAGATGGTGGAGATTAGGGAAGGTAATGGAGGTATTAGAACTGAGAGAGTGCATGTCAACACACTGCAGGTGTGGGGCTGAAACTCAAGCTGGACAGAGTTTCTCACGACAACAACATTTGAACTCCTAAACCTGTGGCAACCTGGCTGTTCAACTGTCATTATATGCAAGCAAGTTGGCCCATTTTCACAAAATTTGTTTAATTCTCCAGAATGAGCTCAGATAAAAATGCTATTACAGTTTACAAACCAAAAAGCATCATGACAATAATCAAACAGTGAGAAAACAACAGCCTGTGCAAATTGCCTGACCATGCCTGAAAATGACAAACCCAATCCCAAAGTGACAGGCCAGACCAAAGAGACAAAACAGGCCTGATTCTTTCCAATATGCTTACAACACACAAACCAACAACACATTTGTAGACTTGCAGCCATTCCAATTTTAAGGAATAAAGCACAGCGAAGGATGGCAGGCACATTTGTGTGCACATTGGCTTAACAGGTCTGAAAAGACTGTGAGAAACAAGACATTTATTTCTTTCCACCATCTGTTTGTTCCACATGGAAGAATGTAGTATGACTGTGAAGAAAAGGCCAAAATAAGGCTTTTCTTTTCACTGCAACGGAAATGTGACACAGGGGGAAAGAAGCTAACGCTCTCACTCCTTACCCTGCTCCTGCGCGTCCGAGAAGCTGGATCTAAACTCCATTTAGGCTCCTGTTTACCTAAGAGATGAGCTTCTGGACACATCCATTCATGAGTCCCCACTCTTTATCTGGTCATGAATATTCCCATAATCCCTTGGCCCCTATCCCAGCAGCCTCTGTCCCCTCTTCTTTTTTCCAGAAGGGAGAAGGGGGGATGGCTTTCACTCTTTCAGGGGTTCCTCCTCAATCCCTTCTTTCAAAGGGGCTCTTGCTTGATCTCCACATGAAATGATATCTCTTTCACTCCCACTCTTACTCAGCCCTAAGCCTCCTGTGCCGGGCACGGCAGAAGGCTGGAGAAAGCCTTTAATTGACCTGTAATTAGACTGTGAAACAGTGTGGCCAAGGAGAACAGGAGAACGACAGAAAGAAGCGATAGTCCAGGCACGGGATACGGCCTCAGAGCTGGAGGGAAAAGGAGAACAAGAAGCTCAAGGAAACTCAATCCAGCCCCCATAATAGGTACCCTTTAATATTTGCCATCAAGGTGGGCAGTCAATAGGGATGGGAAAAAAAAGCAAAGAAATTAAAATGTGGCAACAGCTTTTTCAATAGCTCACGTTTCACCCTGGTCCACTCCCCAAAAAAGTCTGAGAAGGGTTGAGACACTAGCTGTGTGGGTCCTTGGAAACTCAATGTGTCATTTCAAAAGGTGGGCCTTTCTTTTACGAAGGTCTGACAAGAGAACTCTTTGAAAGTAGAGACTGGCCATCTCTGTGAGACAGACCTCATAATGCAACAAGCAGAAAAAGGCCACTGCTGCCATTTGATTTGTCTGAGAATCCATACAATAACATCAGCTATAAAAGACAGCAGGAGGGGAAAACAGGGGTGGCACATAAAACAGCATGTCAACAGCACAACACCCCAGCAGTGGCAGCACTACAAATCAACACTCAGACTTATCTTTAAAACAGATGGCTATGAGAAACAGAGGAACTATAGGCCTGCTCCACTGTAGAGATGTGGGAGTTCAACAGAAGGGGAAATAGCTTTCTAGCATACGTTAAGTATAACAATAAGAATGACGCAAAAAATTTGGAGAAATGTTGACATTCCTTAGAAAATGTGTGTACATGTAACAATATTTGTTCATTAATTTTTGGCTAATAAAAAACACACATTGTACCACAGAAGACATAGAGTTAGATTCTCAGACTGGTTCTAAAGGTTACAGCCTTTACACACTGAATGAGACAGTCATGCAAGTTACTTGGATGTCAAGTTACT